ATATATATATATTATATGTGTAATGTATATATATATATATATTATATGTATATCTTTGCGTATGCGTGTGCATGTGTGTGTACGTCATCTGCCGACCGGTCGCGAACGAATCGCGAACAGAATTTTCGCGAAAATCCAGACGATCCGACCGACGTTTTTCCCGACCAGAGTATCCGCGTTATTTCTTTCCAATTCAATTCGCCATTGGGCTTTTTTCCCACCAGCCTAACGACGCGGGAAAACGAGCGAACGATTGGCCAAAGGGACACGCGTGCGGTCACATGGCGTCATGTTTCTTCTCGCCGTTCCCTATTTCGCGATTCTGCAAAAGCAATTGCCACGGAGCATCGATTTTTCGCGAAACGTACTCCGACCAAACGCTTTTTCCCCCCTTTTCTCTTTTTCCGAACGACGCGACGTCGGTGAACACCGCTGCCGGACGAAATTTCGCGCTAGCCTCGCGAGCGAATACGAAAATTCGCGCGAATCGCGAGCGAAATTTTCGAGTACGTAGATCGGTGTCCGCGAGCACGCTCTAAACGTCTCGACGCGGATGTGCGATCGGTCGGCAGAGCTGTAACAGATTTTATTTGTTCTACTTTGGACGGCTACGAATCGTGCACAGGTATACAAGTATCTATCGTTTACACCTCACTCACGCCACGTACACGTATCGCCCAAACCACGATACCCCCGACATTCTCACATTCTGTTGCTTCGATGTTCCGTCTCGAAGACCCGTTGTACCCACACAAGCGATGCTGCGTGTACCACGACGAAGATTTAGCGCGCGGTGCCCCCGATTAATTCCGACTCGTTCCACACCCTGTGCCCCGCGAGTTCTCGCACGTTCTCTCGCGCGCGTTTCCCTCGCGCCGAGCGATCCAACCTACAACGATCGAATCATCCGTTCATCGACGGCCGTTTCTCGGCTCAAAGAAACAATCACGCACCGTCTACGACTCGCCCCGTAGCTGTGTCGAACTCTGTTTCCCGGTGTCTCCGCCCCCCGCGGTTCGCGGAATACACGCGCGAGCGTTCCGAGAGTAGCTCGAAGGGACGAGTCCCGAGCCTTTTCGAGCAACGGCATCGCTATTGTGCACGCACACACACGTACACACACATACAACACACACACCCCTGCACACACGAAGCGTGTACAGCGGCGTTCTGGCGGCCGTGCCACGCGGGATCCGGACGACTTCCGGTCCACCCGAGCACCGTTCCTCGCACACTTTTCCCCCAGATGGGCAAGCGCCTGCACCGATCTCTTGGCTGGTTTGATTTAATCGGGTCGGGTATACACCGATCGCGGTACACCGAACGCACACACACGCCTTCCGGGGGTGTATGTAGACGGGGAAAGGGGAAAGGATAGAGGGGGAAAGAAACGGAGGTGGACAGGTTGGTTAGCGATTGATAGGTTCACGGTCGAAGGAGAACGATGTGACGGTGTTGCGACAGGACATAGAACTTTCGTGAGTGTGGCAAACTGGAGGATCGAACGAAACAGGACGAAGACGACGACGACGACGACGACGACGACGAGTGTCGTTCGTAGGGTGTCGGAGGTTAGGTTGAGGAAAGGGGTCGTAAAGTACATAGAAACGACGACGACGACAACAACGACGAGTGTCGTTCGTAGGGTGTCGGAGGTTAGGTTGAGGAAAGGGGTCGTAAAGTACATAGAGGATGGAGGGGGGATAAAGTAGAGCGTAGAGAATAGAGTTAAAGATGTCACGGTTACTCGGATAGCTCGATAACAGAGAAAGAGAGCAGAGAAAACGAAACGAGTTTTGGATCTACTGTAGGGAAGGGGTACTACCACCATACGGGAGGTCCGATATCAATGTCCAGCGGTGGACGTAGGCACAACGGACCCCACAACGGGCACCACAACATGGCCGCGATGGCCATCGAATATAACGGTCATCATCCACCGCGAGAGCCGCGAAAAGAGGAGAGCACTCTCGTGAGACGGAGCTTCCGAAGGAGTGGCGACGAGTGGCGCGCCGACAGTAGGAGGTGCGTGTGAAGATTGGCGATCGTGCGTTCGTTTCTCTATACAAACTTTCTTTCTCTCGAATATATTTTTCTTTTTCCTACTTTATTTTTATTTTTTTCCTTTTTTCTTTTTCTTTCTCTTTCTTCATTTTATTCTTCGCTCATTTCTTTCGTCACGTTCGCGTCGGTCGTCCCGGGATTGCCGGTTTCTGGCGATACCTGGATGCGCAACGAAACTCTCAACGTGTCTGTACGTGTGTATACATGTGTCCGCGATACATATCGCGCTATCTTTGATCGCCGCGCGTGAAACGCTCGACGAGGAATCTTTGCATATTTCGCACACGGCGACGTGTGCTCGAGCACGATCGAACACGATCGAACACGATCGAAGACGATCGAAGACGATCGAAGACGATCAAAGACGATCAAAGACGATCGAAGACGCGCGAACTCGCGGTTGCTGGCAAACTCGGGATCGAAGATCGTCACGTAGAGTAGGAGCTCTGTCGCGACGAGTTCGAAAGACGTAGATGTGGCAGAGTGCGAAATTGCAAGCGGGAACATGGTACAGAACACAGGCACACACACGTAAAACATTGTTCATGCTAAAAAGAGAACACTCGCAGACGCACACGCAGTACCCGAAACACGTTCTCGTATCTCCTGTGTATGTGGCGTGTCCATTAGGTTCACGGAGAGGAGGGGGAAAAAGACAGTGCGATTTGACGGTGGGACCAATGTCGGCGGCCCTCAGGAGGATTGGTCTTGGGAGGCCGATCGGCAGGGTAGCCAAGACAGCGCGACCAAAGACTCCGGAATAGACACCTCTAGCACGTTCACGAGCAGTGAGGACAGCAACAGGGGCGACCTGCCCAAGGTACGGGCCCGTTACTCGACTCGCGTCGACCGATCGCTATTCGGGAAATTGCTTGTCGATCGAACAACACACAGGCTAGAGTTCCATCGATCTCTCTGGTTCGAGTCCTCTCGAGCACAAACATGGCCAGGCAGTCGCTTTCGATTAGAGTACACTTAGGAGAACGAAAGTAGCCGGTGGATGATCGAGTAAAAGGGGTCTCTGTCGCGCGAGCGTTGCCCGTGTGTCGAGAAGAACCGACACGCTTACAGATTTTACAGCTATTTTCTTTTTTCCTGTCGCGTGATCGCGCCCCGAGTTTGTACGATGGCGCTACTAGCAAAACCGTCGCGGGTCTCTGTCGTCCAAAGTGGAATACGGTTTTTTTAATTCTTCCTCGTTCCTTGCTTCTCATATATAGCTTTAGTGGAGAGAGAGAGAGACACATAGAACGATGATTATATACATCCGTGGTCTGTTTAGTGCCTGATTACTTGATTGGTTCATGTACCACTAGCCTAGTAGTTTAGCAAACGTTTCGATTTAACCCTTTCGTTCACGGTCACACCCCGGTCACATCCGTCCACGTTGCTCGTGCATCCACGACGAGAAACGAACGATTCGTCTTTGCGTTTCACGCTTTCTTCATCGATATCTCGTTCACGATGAAACGCGAAATCGAGCGAAATCGAGCGAAATCGCGCGATATCGAATGCGTAACGAAGGGGTTAATCGTTGGACAAATGCCGGGCGAGCCGAAGTTTCAGGGAGGGAGAAGATCCCGTCTTCACCCGCGCCTTGACCCGCGTCTTACTTCAAACTCTCTTCCTCTTTTTTTCTCTCTGTATATCTTTATTTTCCCCTCTTTCTTTCTTGCTTTCTTTCTTTCTCATTTCATACATTGTGAACTTCGTATGACGAAGAAACCTCTTTTGCTCGATTCACCCCCAAACTTCGAGCTTGAAGGCTTTCGTGCTTGGATCCGCGTCCTTTTCGTTACGACATTATTTCCGACGCACCCAGTTTCTATATATTATACCTATACACGTATATACATGTATATACATATATGTATATATATGTATCTAGTTTGTGCCGAATCTGGTTGTTACTGTTGCGTGCAAGTCCTTCGGACCTCCTTTTGTCGAGCGTCATTTAAGCATCAGCGAAACGTGTCACGGAGCGAGAGCATTTGACGAAACACGACGGGAATGCAACGTTCCTGGCAAACACACATAGTTGATCGCACCTGATCGCATGAGTCTTGGATTGATCTCACCACTAACAAGCTCTCGGGCCTCGCCCCAAACCTCCCCTACCGTGACTTAGCAACTTAGAATAGGATGCTTTCTTCGCGAACCTCATTCTCTGTCTTATCGTTTCATCTCTTTTAAACTAGCCATCTATATATATATATATATACTCCGTGTACTCTTCTCCTCGATAAAACGGCACGCGGATTTCGAGAACGCCATCAGACTGGATAAACGATTCATCCCCGTGTTTCATCGCACGCCGTTTCTCGTCGGTTCATCAATCGCCACCCCTCCTCATCTGATCGTTCACCAACAACCACGCGTCTCGATCTCCATCCCCCGGACGTTACACGCAAACGTCCGGCCTGGTTAGCCATCGTTTCACGGGTTCTTCGCTAGTTTCGAACACGGCACACGCCGTTCGAGGATTCGTGCGAAACGACGTCTCCCTACCCTCACCACCGACATCGCCACTGTTCATTCACCACACGATACATCTCGGTACGATATATCGCCGCGCGTTATTAAACGACCACGGGACCAGAGGCGAGAGGACGCGACCGCGTTTAATCAAGTTTTGACAGAACCGCCGCTCGTCGGCCGAATTTTCCAAACGAGAATCGCCGGTGTTAACTGGAAACTCGTTTCTTTGTCACCGGGGTCGCTTTCCGCGGAACGAATCACCCTCTCGCCGTTGATCCCAGCGCGGAAGGACGTTCTCTCGCGCGGAAGGACGTAGCAAGATAGCTTCTACGACGTATGCGATCGCTGCGCGTACTAGTCTCGTCTGATCCTCGATTGGTAGGATGGAATTAAAATTGAATTTTAATCCGGCTACGATCCTAAGACTCGTCGTCCATCGCGTTATTAACCCTCGGACCACTCGCGTGACGAACCGAGTGCCGCTCGACTACCACTCGACGATCAATCGGATGAGCGGCATTCGAAGCAAATGGTCGATGTAATTAGGAAAAAGGGAAAAAGGACAGAGCGATTGCGCGAAAGCGTAGAAAGCAGGGCCAACATCATCGTTCGTCATTGTCGTTCCGGACGGGCGGATCGCAGCATCGGGGTGGTGGTTTTCCGATAGCCTCCTTGCCCGGGCGTATTTGTCAATTTGCCGGCGTCGGGACGGCCGATGGCCGAGCACGGTTCGATTATCCGTTATTGTTATTACACGACCCCGTAAATCCGCTTCGAATTTCGATCCACGGCCGCTGCCGCTGCCTCCGCCGCCGCCGCCGCGCAGCCATTCTTTCGAATCCTTCCCACACTCCGTCTCGGATGTCTCCCGTTCGAGCTCGTTCGAACGGAACCGACCGGTTATAAGCCGGTAACCGCGAAGCACCGCGTCGGCCTTGCCCGATTAATCGTTCGTTCCCGAACAAGAAAGCTTCCGCGAACTGGAGAATTAAGCAGGATCGCGAGGGGGTTGAATGGTTCCCAAGCGGGATGACCGAGGGGTTGGAATGGATGGAGAAAGACGTTTGCTCGATTAAAACGTGGGGCTTCCAGGGGGAGGAAGTTCGATACGATGCTTCGATTCGTAGACGAAATATCTCGCCGGCCCATTTCCAGCCCGGGGTTCCCCTGGACGAGGAGGAGGGGGCGGAGGAAGAAGAATCTCGTATCGATCTCGGCACGCGAGGACGGAGGATGTTGCAAAGTTTCTGTTCGGTGAAATGAGGGAAATTATAGCTTCTTAAAGCCCGTCCGGAACACCCTGTACGAGCCGCAATAAAAACGACAATTCAGCGCTCGCCAAGAGGTCGAGGTAATTCTTGAAAAATTCTCCGTGCCGCAACGAGAACGAGGGAATTGCGGCTATGTCACGGTGCCGGTGTGACCGAGTTCCCGAGGCCCCTTTTTCGACGGCGAAAATATCTCTCGATCGTTCTCCTTTAGTTTCTACAATTACCCTGCGTCTTGATCTCGTAAGAGATCTTTCTCTCGCGAAACGGGAACGAACGATTACCTTCGCGGCCGGTCTCGAATCGCGTGCACTTCGACGAAAAGGCGATATAACCACGGCCACGGATCATCGTTCGATAAATGGGGGAAGACAGGAAGAAACTCCAGGCTGGTCGAGGGTTGGGAAAAAGGCCGTGCTCCAATTATGCCAGGCAAATAAGCAAGATTAAATTCGAGTCCGAGTAAACGGACGGCAATCGAGCAATTTATCCATCGGCTGATCGTCTTGTGTACTTCTTCTTCGGTTGAATCAAGATCGACCGCGTTTCCGGGATTCGGCCGGTTAGCCTGCTCGATTAATACGAGACCGAGGATCGTTCGTCGGTGGAAAATCTGTCGTCGACCGGTCGACGGGGCACCGTTGGAAATTGCATCGCGATCGGGAATATTCCATCGTGCCGCGTACGTCGAAGGTAACGATGTCGGTGAAAATCTTGTTTGCCGGATGTTTCGTCCAAGTACGCCGTTACGTGTCTTGGTAATTTCCGTGTCTCGCGAATGCTCTCGCTGAACGCGGCTGACGTAAATGAGGTTATTTTCTCCGGGGGGGAAGGATCGGACGACGAATGGAGATTCGCGTGTAACGCGAGGACTGCCAATCCGTCGGTAGACTAGACCGATTTCACGAGCCGGTACCGATCCAAAACGTCCAATTAAAAGGGCCGAAAGGATGCCTGGTCGTGGAGAGAGAGGCGTACCTGTTTCATAATTAATCGAATTGGAGCACGGCCAAAGGATATCCGAAGCAGTGGCGAGTCTCGACGACCTCGTTAGCTCTCGTCGATCGGTTTCGCGGTGTCTTTTGATAAATCCGCGACTTCTGGCGTTCCGGAAACGAAAAACGGATGTAATTGGCTGCGCCCGTTGAATGGCCGCGGTGAAACGGAAACTAGTCCCCGCGGTTAATTTCTAAGCTGCTCGCGTTTAAAACGGGAGGGAAGAAAGCCGGGGAAAAAAAGAACGGGGCAAAAAGATGGCGGATTAAAACTCGGGCTGGCGTTCATAATGGCGAACGGATATATTTTAAGCGACCTCTTCCGGTTTTAACAAGCGTTCCTACGCGAAACTTTCGAACGCGCGTTTAACTTTCTTAGCGAAATATTTAATTACAACTATTTCATCCGACTAGCTGGGCCGGTCGGAACGAAAAGTGGAAAGGAAAGCTCGTGTCGAGTGCATAATGCAAAGTTCTTCGGATCCTTTAATTAGGGCAAACAAAGGGGAAAAAAAGGAAGTAATAAGGGGAAATAAAAGATAAACGTGACACGGTTCGAGCAGCCAATTATATCGGGGTTAAGCAAAGTATCCTAGTAAATTGAGGCTAAAAGACGTAATTGATATTAGAGTTGTATAGAGAGAAAAAGAATCGTCTGTTGTGCGAATATACTTTGCGACGTTCAATTGTCTTTGCGAATTCAAAGTGCCACGACTCACTCATGATCGACACGATCGACTGGAAACCGGAAGGAGGCGACCCCTCTCCCTAAAGTAGATCCACCAGATAAATCGAGTCGCTCTTCGACAGAGATACCTCACTTCCACGGTGTTCTTTTTTTTTTTAACGATTGCAATCACGTCGCTGTTGCATGCCTGGAACCTTGAGGACCTCGAACATCGGACGTTCGAAGGAACTGATTGTCGCTTTTCTGCTCGTATGCTCGTTGAGACGGCATGTAGCGAAGCATGCAGCTTAGTGACTGTTCATACCGTATAGATGTTCCATCATTAGATGTACGAGATAGCGTGCTTTCTCCTTTTGTCAAGCTTGATCGTTTTACCATTATTTACTTTCACTCTTGAACATGTAGACTCACCTCACCACCGACACGTTCCATCGATACGGAGGATATTTGAACGAGCATTTCGACCGATTACCATTAAACTTCGATGCAACGTTCCTCGAGATCGAGATTGAAATCGCGTCGATAACGATGTTCCAGTATCCTCTGTCGCGCGCATCGCATCGCCAGGAAGGCTACCATTCTCTTCAGCTTCTCTTTCATCGGAATCCCCTGTGACAGAAATATCTTGCGACTGATGACGGGATCGATACGGCGAGCGAGTTCCTTTGCCGCTTGATTAACGCTATACAATTCACCAGACGCAGGATATATTCTTCCAGGAAGGTCAGCTTGAAACCATCAGCGTCACAGTCCGTTCACGAATTACTTTCATAGCGATCAGTCCAGTCGCGCCAGGAATTTGGAAACCAATCTCCACGATATTACCCGTACTCGCGAATCCATCGAAGATTCCGTTTTCGCGTCGCATTGGTTCCCAAGTTTCTCCAGCGTCAGACACGCGTCCCTCCACCCCCCTCATCTCACACAACAACCGCGACGAAGTGTAACGATGAAAGAAAAAGAAAACCAAAAAACCCATTCTCCGCGCTTCGTAGCATCCGTTACCCTGGCAAATGAGCAGAGATGGCCAGAAGATCATTGACCACATGGTGTTGCGAAAGCAGCCCGGCTCCGGAAGCAGTAGTAGCATACTGGGGCTGAAAGTGGTCGGCGGCAAACTGTTGGAGGATGGTACTATGGGCGCCGTCATCGAGAAGGTCAAGAAGGGTAGCACGGCCGACATAGAAGGTCAACTGAGACCCGGTAAGAACGATAAATTTAACCCCCGATGCCCTAGAATCCTGCGCCTTCGCGCAAAACCTTCCACCTTCCCGTCCATCTCGCGAGCAAACCCACTACCACGGACTGTGATTCGTCGAACGTTCCCACGAAAAGAGCAAACCGATTTTGCCCAGGCCCACTCTCGATCGCTGTTACTCGACCGCGTTGTTTCTCCACGATGGCTGATGTCGAATGGAAGACTTTACGGCGAACGAACTCTTACGGCAGTCCGAGCTATCCGGATACCCGATCGATCGATTCCCTCTGTCTGTGCCGCGAGAACACTCGTCTCTTTGCGAGGTATTCCAATTTCTTGGAAACAGGACAACGAGTTCTTATAGCGTTCGAGGTAGCACGAGCGCAGAAGGAATCCATCGACGATTGAAGAAACCACGCTAATCGTATAACGCGAACGACAAACGCTTTAACGTCTCCTCGAAAGGAAAGAACCTTCATCCGTCCAATCCAGCGAGCCACAAACGCCGTTCCATCACCTGAAGCTAGAATCACCGCGTCAGGACTTTTCCACGACAAAAGCCCACCGCTACCCAACCCTCTTGCAATCCCTAGTCCATTCGAAATCTCGCTAGCATTTCCAGCGAGGGACTCGCTGTCCGAAGTAAATAAATCCCCCGTTGCCCCCGGCCCCGGAGGCGATCCAATAGGAACCGACCGGACATTCGACGATTTCAGGTGACGAGGTGATCGAGTGGAACGGCAGGTCCCTCCAGGGCAAGAGCTTTCGCGAAGTTTACGACATCATCGCCGGGTCGAGACAGGATCCCCAAGTGGAGCTGGTAGTTTTGCGGAATCAATCGTCGTCGACGGGTCCGGTGACGATGCCTGCGGGGCCGACGCCCACGGCGCCGATGGCGTCGAGGAAGATCACCGCGCAAACCCAGTGGAGACAAAAGCACCCGGAGACGATACCCGGACCGCAGCAACCGCATCACAAAGGTGACTATGCGCTTCTCGCTTCGTTCGTTCCCTACCCGATTCTTCTTCTTCTTCTTCTTCTACTTCTCTTCTTCTTCATCTTCTTCTTCTTCTTCTACTTCTACTTCTACTATACTACTACTACTACTACTACTACTACTTCGACTGTCTCTCTTTCGTTTCCCTACCTCGTTGGACACACGCTCTCAAGATCTGTTCTCAGGCCGTTCTCTTTTCTTCTCTGTCTCCCTTCTTGTCTGGCCCGAGTACATATATATGTCTCGTAGAGTATAATGTACACACACGGTCGCTGACGGACGTTTAAAAGATGATAGTTTAAGCCGTCCCCGGAGCGTAACGCGCGTTTAGACGACAAGGTAGAGAAGGTAGACAGTGTATCAAGGAGTAGCTCAGACAGCTACTCGGTTGCGATAGATCACACTTAGGATGTGTTATGGGAGTTTGCTGTGAACGAGTAGTGGTTTGAGTGGGGGCACGCGTACCCTCGTCTCACGACGGGCACGCGTCCCCTCGTTATCGTACGGGGTGGTCGTTGAACGATCGAGGATCGATCGATCGATCGATGGATCGATCGATGCGCACGATCGGCTCGACGTACGAGTTGACGGAGCCGAGAAATTGTTGTAGATCGTTCAGCGAGTTTACCCCGCGTAGTATTACGTAGTATAGAGAGTACTAGAGCTAACTTAGTGACATACGATTTGCCATATTTCCTCCAGATCGGGGAAATTTTAAGAGAATTTGCAAAAGTCGATGATCGCGATACGAGAGCATCGAGAAAAACGATATCGAGTCCCTACCTAAGCCTTAACTAAGTAGTCATAAGTACACAGATAAGCGTATCGAAAGCAACGCTATATTGTCACAGATTATATGATTTTTCGTATTCCAGGTCTTAAGAAATGTATTCTATGGGGTAGGCCTCAAATTTCTTAAATTTCTCGATCCCAAATAATCGGTGTTCCCTCCCCGCCCGTGTTTATGGTTCTGTCTTTCATCCCCTTTGATTCTTTCTTTCCCTTTTTTCTTGGTAATGCTTTTTCTTTTCTTGAGAAGATTCACGGGAAATGGTAAACGAAAGGATTTGTGCCATTCTCGGGTGAAAAGAGAAAAAAGAAAGAAAATGGAAGAAAGGAGCAACGATTATCGAGTGCGCCAGCATCGAGATCGATGCTTAACGAGAGCCATTACGATTGTTATTCCGCTTTGTGTATACCATCGATGTTACCGTAGAAAGTAGAAAGTAGTGCCAATGCACCCCCTGCTAACACCGCCGTTTTTTTACCATACATAGTTTTATGGGAGCAACAACTTGAAACAAGTGAATCTTTTGTGTCGTTCTGTATCTCTCCCCCCCTTGCTGGCCACGAAGGACCATGCATTCGAATCCTTCTGTATATAATGCGCCATTCTGCGACTTACCCTCCCCCCCTTTTATATAGACTCTTCGAAAGCTGCACCACTGTGATTGCGATTACGATGCAAAGATTTATAAGACCATAAGACCGTAGGCGTTTACGTTTTCGCTTGCGATCGTTCGTGTCTCGATCGAACACGATGAATATGCGTTTTAATCATTCTGTCTCTCTGTATATAAAACGATTGTTGAATAATTGTTATTGTGAAGCAGTTATTTTATAAATTGACGATAGCTAGACGTCTTCAGGAACCGTACGAAGAGAACGCAACACTCCCGACGTGTATGCACTTTCCATCCTGCATCGCGGAGCTGCGTTTAAACGCATCCGCGAACCTTTTACTGCATCTACCGCTAATCCGCCGGCTGCGTTCGATGCATCTACAGGGATGCGTTATTTTCACTATGAGCAGCTCGAGAGTATCCTGCACGTGAATTGTGATATCTCCCGAGGAATGGATGTATCTGCCCGCAAATTGCATTACACCCTGCTGATGGAAGGGAAGTTACGGGTTTCGGCGAATCTTACAGTGATTCGACGGTTTTAGCGGTTCCTCTGTAAACCAACATCCCCGACCACCCAAGCCCCACCCCCACTCTCCCCGGAAGTAATCCGTGAATTTCCGTGGAAATTAAATTTACGAGTCGCTTTTGGATATTCCGTGGATACACGCGCGCGCGCGTTACCTTCGAATCGCTGTAAACCCATATAATCTACCCGTTTCCCCGAATAATCCAAATTCCGTGGTCGCGAAACGTTTTCCGTAGTAATACAATTTATCGAAGATATCGCCGTAAGTTCCACGAATTTCTTGCATTTGCCCGACTCGAACGTCACTCAATATTCCCAGCTACCCTCTCCTCCTCCTCCTCCTCCTCCTCCTCCTCTGTATTCCAAGATTCGGTGTCCTAGTAAAGGATCGTCGAACCCACGTCCCCGTTTGCCGACATTTTACGAGTTTGTCCGCGAATTTTGTGTACACCTTTTGTACACCGCGATACCGAGCATCGAGCTAGCTGATGCACACGATGCGTCATTTTTCTTTTCTTTTCCCTTCGAGAATGCTCGTATCCCTGCGATACGATACTTTCTGTATACCCGTATACATGTATGTATATCTATGCATACCATTTATATATATATATATACATATACATATACATACATATAAACGTAGAAACCCTTTAACACCATGTATCCCAATTCTACTCCGTTCGAAGCTGACCGGGTTAGCCCACGAGATCTAAAGTCTAGTCGGCACTGAACGATCACTTGCAGAGTTATACGACGCGAGGCGCGAGAAACCTTCGGTTTTAGTGACCTCGCCCGGCTCGCCGGATCTGCACATTCAAGGACGCGTCAGGCACCTTCGACACACTTCCGGTAACGCGAACGTCGGAGGTAATCTTCAGGTGAAGCTGAGCTTCGATCCTGTGGCGCTACGGTTGATCGTCACGTTGATCTGTGCGTCTGGGCTCATGCCCAGGAGCAACGGCCAACCCAGAAATCCCTACGCCAAGATCTTCCTGCTTCCGGACAAGAGGTGAGTGTGCTCGATTGGCCCAGAAACCGTACCACGCTTGCTTCCGCTTATTTCTCTTTTTTCCGAATAACCCTATTCCATCTATCGGAGATACCGGCAACCCTTGACGTTTTACCCCTTAAAGATAAAGTTCGCGCGGGCTTGCGTTTTCTCTGTCGGAGAAACAACGGGCCAAGTACGCGTGTGCTTCGCGGCGGTTCGCTTCCGCGGAGTCGAAGATCGATAAACGGATTTTATGGGCCAGCACGAGCGTGCGTTCGAAATCACCGGCAAGTTTCCTATCGTTTCGCGAGATACACGATGGGGCGAAAGAATCGAGGGTACGGCACGATGCTCGACCACGCGGAAACGCGCTGCCCACAACGTCTTCGCGGAGGCGTTTATGCGCGTGGCCGGGATGATACCGGGCGCGATGATGTCGCGGCTGAAAGTGTCCTCCTTCGCGATAAATCATCTCGGCCCCCGAAGAAGCGTTCGCGAGCCAAAAGATAGCCGCGGAGTTTGGCCGGGTTGCCAAACGGCCACGCTACCGCCAAACTTCGCCGACCATGCACACGTATAGTTCCGTTTTGCCTGGAAACTGGCGCGTCTCGTTAATGCCCGACATCGATCGTCCGGTATCGTCCTATTTACGCGTCGATTCCGCCGAGCGTAATCGGCCAACGTAACACACACCACTTCCGTCCTACCCGTAACTTGTGTCCCGATGCAGCGAAAAGTCGAAGAGACGCACGAAGATGTTGGCCAACACCAACGACCCGAGGTGGAACCAGACGTTCATATACGAGGGCGTGAGGAGGCCGGACCTGAGGAAAAGGGCGCTGGAGGTGACGGTGTGGGACTACGGGAAGTACGACACGAACGATTTCCTCGGCGAAACGGTGCTGGAACTGGCCACTGCTCATCTCGACGAGGAGCCAGAGTGGTACCCGTTGACCGGCCACGGGGAACACCGACATATTGGGTATGTGAATCAGCTCGGTAGAACTTAGGATGTTTCACTACTTCATGCCTCTGAGATGAGACGCAATCGCTACAACGCATTCGTTCGCTTGTTGCAATGAGAGACTAGGAGAGACTTTAGAGATTGGTGACTGACGAATACTCTTTGCGCTTCTTAGTCGCTGAATGCAAACAAAAGTACCGAGTCTTTTATATAGAGCTTCTGAGAAGGGCTAGGCCTGTGTAGGCGTGCAGCCATTTTTTCCGAGTATTTAGGCTGAGGGAGAAGGAATCCGTCGACGGTCACTTGCGTTAGCCTTTTCACGATCGCGGGTATACGTACACGTTACATACGGCCAACGTTGTTCCAACGCAGTAGCATGAACGGGAATCGGGAAAGGCATAAAAGAGAGAGGGAGAGAGGGAGAGAGAGAGAGAGAGAGAGAGAGAGAGAGAGAGAGAGAGAGAGAGAGAAATGTGTATATATATATATATAGAGAGAGAGAGGAAAGAAAGGGGAAAAGAGACGTAAAGAGAGTAAAAATAGAGACGAAAAGCGAAAGATTTCGGAACGATGTCGCGGCGAGTTTCCGTTCAGCGAATCCCGTTCGGCTGATTCTTTTTCACCTAGCGCTAGCGAGAAGAGCGTAGCGTGAGATCTAAATTTCGCGTTGCACAGATACTATCAGGAGCCCGATGACATGGTGATAACTCCGGTGGACTGCCATCTCAGTCCACCGTCGACGACGTCGCGGCTGAGCGACTCTGACACTTCCGAATGCGATATCACGGACTGCGACGTCTCCAGGGAGCAAAGGAGAACAGCTGACGGTGCCAGTATAAGCAGTATCGGCAGTTCCTCCAGGTAAGAGCATCCTTCGAAAATCTCTCTACGTCGCGTGTACCGAGACTCTCCCACCAACCACCCGAAACGATACACGATACATATAAACCGGTGGAGAGAGAAGAGCCGTGCTATTTTCACGGCCGATGCGGCGCAAAAACCTCCTACGGCCACCGAGCAGTACCGAGACGACGACGTCGTCGCTGAAAACGTTTAACGAGAATCACGTCGAGGCTATCCGAACTTCGCTCTATCCATCGTCGACGTCGTGGGAGCATACGCGGATCCACGTAGGCACCGCCGATAGTAAGATGCAGATAGAATTAACGCTATGGGCAACAAGTTTGAGACCGCCTCCTTCTCGTTTTCTTTTCAAAGACAGACGCGTTTTAGTTGCATCTACGCATTCATAGTTACTTCTACCTTTGTTTGCATGTAGAGAGAAATGCGCTTTAGCGTTCGTCCTTTTTCCGTAGCACCCTCGGGTTCGTCAGTCCAGAGTATCACGATTAAACTCGCGCAGAGGAGACATGTCTTAAAAAATCAGCTGATTCTTTGCAGCAGCGACTAGCCGACACGAATGGGAACTCGGCGTTTTCTTTCTCTCTGCCGAGGAGAAAGGAACGGAGGAAAATAACAGTCGCGTCGAGCCACGCGAGAAACGACGACACGGAAACGCACGGCCATATGGGGTGGTTTCAAACTCGTGCTCGATAGTGTGCCTCGCGTTTGATCCCCGAGCTCAAGAGGACACCACGAGATTAACCGCGCGTCACTTTTCGCGAATCGATCCACGGCACCGTGTCTTAAACGGCCGACGAAGAATTTGTCGACGAGCGGTGAGAGAAAGAAAGAGAGAGAGAGAGACAGAGGGAGCGAAAGAGAGGGAGAGAAAGAGAGAGAGAGAGAGAGAGAGAGAGAGCTGTGTCGTGCAAGCTTCCACGCGGTTGAACCGGTGCAGTTCGTCAGGAATTAACGCTACTTAACGGGAGCAGCGTGCCGGTGTCCTTGGCCAACAGGAATCATCGCGTTACTAATCTGTCGAGCGTTCCTATTCCCGGCTTAAGATCTCGTTTACAGGTCTCGTAACCGGCGCCGTAACTGTCGTCGTAATGGTTATTCCCTCGGTGGCGTGCGACGCGGTCTTAATCGTCGATAACACGAGGCGACGCGGCTACTCGAGATTAGCCGGCGTCCCATCCTTTCGCCATGCATCATTGCTCTTTCTTGCATCGTTGCTTCCCTTCCGGTTCATCGAGGAGGCACGGGCCAGGTACGCTGTAAGGGACGGCCAAGATTTACCGAATAACCCCTAACGATTTGGACAGTGTCCCGGTTCTCGCGGTAACGATCGTCCATCGTTGCAGTTCCGCCAGAAATCTCCCTAAATTACACGATTTCGCCCGCGATTAAACGCCGGACAGACTGAGGAAACGCCAGGTATTTCTTGGTTCCTATCCGACGCGATGAACACCGGTCTACCGCCGATACCGACGATTCCACGGAAAGATCGCGGGCAAAGGGGATGATAGATAGACCGGCGTTTTTGTGTCGTACTCGCGGAAAGCGGCGTCGTGGTGGTGACGTAAAGCCGTCGGCCACAACGATGAAAGAGAGACGGAGACAATGCCGGCGGAGGCGAGGGGGTGCGAATAAGGGTGTAGCGGGGGATAGGGCGGGAAGGAGAAAGAGAATTAGAGAAAGAGAGAAAGGGAGAGGAGAGAGGCCGAGAGCCAAGTTATAAAACTGGGCAACAAGCCAATTGACATGCCAGTTGGCCTGCAACCACCGCTGGCTGCGGAAGCCAGCCCCCGAGCCCCGTATCCGTATTAATATTCCACCGATGACGTCCGATCGTTATTTGTGAGTGCAAAGTGCTTTCCGTCGAGCCTTCTGATCCTTTATTTTTCTCCGAAAGGGAAGAGAAAAGGGGAAAAAAGAAAGAAGAAACACGGACCGTCGACAAAGTGGCGGAGTTAAAGCGGAAGGGGTGAAAAACGGAGGGGCGGGCAAACTAGGGGTGGGGGGCATGGGGGGAAGAAAAAGAGTGGAAGGTAAAACAAAGAGGATGCGAATCGAAGCCCACGGCTACGGACGATGGTAACCGCGTCGAACGGCGTGTCTAAACAAATCCACTTTGAACCAGACGCTTAATAAAGTTTTTCATCGTTTGCACAGAGGTTTCGCCCGCAATTCCTGCAATTTCCGCCGAATTTCGTGGCCACCGGTATCTTTCGGATTCAGTGATTCGCGTGGGCATCGGTCACGGCCTCTCGCGAGTTAATCGACTAGCTTTTAAGCCCTCCAAGATCCGTGACCAGCTCCGAATTCCGTGATTTACGGCTATCGTCGTGTCCGAGTGCCCGATCTTTCTATCGTAAATTCGTAACGACCATCTGGTACCTCGAGACCGCGGTAACGCTTTATCGAGGTAAGAAGAGAAAGAAGAGAAACGCGCGTTTGAAAACGGGGTGAAAACGAGAGAGTGTTCAGTGCGCGGTGATGATCGTGTCTCGCTGGACCACCAGATTCGAAGGCCGCGCAAAGAACTCCGGAAGATGCGAAGAACCACGAGGTTACCACTCGGCCGTACCCATGGAAGCAGGGAATGTCGAGGAAGGGGTGGTATCCGGTTGCCTCGAAACCCGCCGCTTTGTCCTATTCGTCTGTCTCTCGGTTACCATTTCCAGCTCTAATTGGTCGAACCTTTGTAAATTTATTCCGCGGATGATGCTCGGAATTCTCGAGCCACGTCCCTCGAGAGCGTTCTCCGGGTTGCTTTTCATAGAAGAGTAATGCGATTGCCGGCGGAAAACCCGGCCTGTACGCTCAGCTCGTTCGCTTTCGTTTGTAATCAATCGCCTTATCTGGCCCGACCCTCTTCGATTCGAGGGTGCTCGAATAATAATATCCGAAAGTTGGCGGTGGCTCGTTGAAAATTGCACGACACAGCGTCGAAATCCCGAGGAAAGTTGCCGGATCTTCTGGTCGAAAGTTTCGCGAACCGCCTCGACACCCTCTCGCTACCCTCTCCCGGTGTCTCTTCAATTTTTCATCGAGCATACGCGGATCGTTTCCGCGCCGCCTCGAGGTCGCGCCCCGACGCCGAGGAATCTGTAGAAACGAATCGGAACGGCGCGTGCTTCGTTAATCCACGCTGGCCTCGATCTGCGAGTCGCTGACCAATTTTTCTCCCCACCCTCTCTGCCCCTATCGTTTCATCCCCTTTGGACGGCGCGATGGTGAAACCGGCGGCGAGACGAGCCGATGAAAAGACGCGCGAGCGCGCCACCGACCACGAATAATTGAAACATCCGGCGACACCGGGGCAGCCGACCGTGCTGCGTGCAGATATTTAATAACCTTCAATATCGCCTAATAGCATTATCCGAAGGGGTTTCACTGGTTACATTAATAAATCCATCGTCGGTCGAGTCGGCGGCCGCGACGCGTCGCGACGCTACGTATCCTACGATCAGATTACTCTCTTTTCTTTCACCGCTACGTTCTTTCAGTCCGTTTTCGAGGGCACGTGTATTCTCATTTCTCCCGATATTTTTTCTCCCTCCCCCCACTTTCGTTTCCTCGAGTCGAGCATCATCTGCCCGATATACGCGATCAGAAGCGACGATGATCGACTCGCGCGTTGGCAGCAGCCAACCATCCCCCTTTGGCTGATTTTCTTTGTTATTTATCTGTTTCTGTCGTTTATTTTTTAGGTTTCATAATATGTCGTCAAATTATAAGCGGTACGGCCATTACAACTTATATTTTCTCCTCTTATCACACGAATCACGCAGTCACACACGTTCTTGCATCCACACCGCTAGGTTAAATAGCGTGCCGCGTGTTAGAGATAAACCCGCGTCGCGTGATACGTCCGAGCAGTATTGCCTGGTGTCCCCCGTGTGTAGAGAGACGAATGGACGCGCACCGACGCCATCTCCTCACGGGTTAGATCGACGCGACGATCGCGAAGAGACAAAAGAAACGCAGCGTACGCTTTGCTAGACGATATTTCCACCTTTCCACGGGAAAGGGGCGACTAACGACGCCGGAGTTTCGCGTCGTTATCGACGAGAAACGACGGAGACGTAGGAATTCGCGGTAAACGTTCCTCGACGCGGTCGCGACGCGAAATCGCTGGGACTTGTCCGCGTGCATCGACGGCAACAGGAGGATTCGCGGATGATCGAGTCGGAGAGATCGTTCGATAAATTCGTCTTCCACGCGATCCGTCTATTTCATCCCTAGGACGTCTCGTTATCCAACCACGTACACCTAAATAATTTTCCATCGAGTGGAAGTACTCGCACGGGGATACGAGGGGCGCTCGTTGGAGCTGCCATAACCGATGCGTCTCTCGGACGTACGTACGTATCCGAGTTGCTGCTTTGGTCTCTATCGCTGGAGGCTGGCCTCTATCCACCCTCTTGGTGTTCCTCTGCTTGCACGCGGCTCGTTCCAGTCGCACGTGCACCGAGCGAACGAGACGAAGGAGTCGCGGTTGTCGGGCCCATGGCCGGCTGCAGGAGAAACCGTGTACGGTTCGTTTCTCGTCGATGAGCGCGCATGGTACGACGGCTAGATCGAGAATAGAGAAGAAAAGAAAGCAGGAAAACGGGAAAGATAAAGCGCAAGAACGAGTAGTTGGGCGCAGAGATTCAGTAGGTCACCGATCATGTAGGCACACACGTAGGCGTCATCGTGTCATCGCTTCTTGCATCTCCCACGTTTTACGAGACTTAGATTGCGCGAGGACATGGCTTTTAGTAACGCTTAGTGCAACGCGATGCATCGGCCGGGGTGGCTCCATTCCTTTCTTTCCTTCCACCGATGGAAGCCTCACCGATCGAAATTTCTTGGGCAACGTCCAGTTCGCCGGGGACGTTCGCGATGCTTATTGGCGCGTCCGTTGCCAGGAACCGGAACGATCACTGTCAGCGGCGCGTCCTTCTCGCCGCGATTCGCGCGCGATCAATCTTCCGGCTCTGGTTCCGCACGCATTTGGCTCCGCCGATCAGTCGCGGGAGCATTGTTTACGGCAGCCAAGCGGACCTTTCCTTGTAGCGAGTAGCTTCTTGGCAACGGAAACACTGTCCTTCCATCCGCGCGGAGGACACGCCAACCTTTGGAGGAAACGGTCCAACCTTTTGTCCGGCTTTATTGGCAAGTAACGCGGTAACGGAGTAGCTTCGCGCGAGGATCGCATACGATACGCATTTGCGCTTTGCAGATCGACCGGTTTCCCGACCAGTCCACTCTCCGTCCACGGAACGAGGTAACGAGTATCTCAGCCTCGCGAAGTAATTCGAACCGGTGTTACGTTCATCGGGTGAACTCGGTGTGAAATATATATTTGAGAACGTTGGCTGAATATTCGAACGAGCAGACTCGGCTAACCATGTGTCACGTTGAAACGGGAAGTGAACCTTTGAAATATCGCTTGATCGATCGTTGAAATGCACCCCGCTCGTTGTTCGTAAATTCCTTTTAGCGCTGCAGTTAGCCGGACACAATGACGAAAGAGTCTAAATTGTTCTCAAGGGTGAACAATCGTCGGTGTATCTCGGTCTCTATCGGTTGTCTCTCACGGCATCGCAGGACGTGGAAATATCGGAAAGGAACGAGGAGCTTGCTCGTCCTCGGAGAACTTTGACTATCGATCACGGGATCGCTTTCACCCCTGGCAACGGGACACGTTCCTCGTGCCCGTTATCGTTTTCTGCAGCGGTTACGAGAGAGAGAGAAAGAAAGAGAGAGAGAGAGAGAGAGAACGAGGGGGAGAGAGAGAGAGAGAGAGAGAGAGAGAACGAGGGAGAGAGAGAGAGAGAGAGAGAGTACTGGCATCCTGTGTCATGGTTTGTCGCTTACCGGGTTCGTTGGTGTGTCTGGTCGACGGGAAGACCGCCACGGTGCAACGCGCGCAGCGTAGAGAATGCATATTTGATAAAGCATCGCCAATGAGAACCAGCCTGGCCGCATGCACTCTGTAATCTAGCGCGAGATCACAGCACTCGCCTTTCCCCTCCGCCCATTTTAACGTTCTAAGCGTTCACACGACGATCACTAATCGGCGAAAAAATGAACGCATGCCGGAGCAGCCACTATTCTAGCCCCCCGCCGGAAAGGGAGCTGTGCGTGGACGGGGAGCATCGAAGTCGAAGGGACATGTCGCCGCAGAGGCGCAAGCGGGCCGCCCTCATGATACGGGATCAGCCGGCGTCTATTTCTGGTTATCAGACCTATCGCAAGGTGAGTGTAGCTGCGTCATTTTCACCGATTTTCCCCGAACACCGGGCCGGGATAGAGCCGTTCCCTTTTCCGCGAATTTAACGATCGTTCGGCGAACGCGTTCCGTAGATCCTCGGACATAGATTTCGCGAGTGTTCGCCGTCGATGAGCTGTCGTTGCAGTCGCGTGGAATTGATCAATCGTCGCGTAGAGTTAAGTACGCGTGCAGCCATTCCGTCCGGCACTTTCGACGCGTTCGCGTGCAGCGTTATCGATTCGTCTTCACCTGCGGAAGCAGCGGACGGCGTTGTTAAATATCTGTAATCCCCAGGACGATATTCATCAAGGAATGATGGGCCACAGGTCGCACAGTGCAGCGCCTATGGACTCGCCGAGCCTCCGGTATCGCGGAAGGTCTCAGAGTCCCACCGGTCATCGCTCTCTGTCTCCGCCGGAACATAGATCCATGCCCTACTCGCACGGCTACGTTCCACCCAGGTACGTACGAGTTATCCTCGGCGAACCGACCGTTTGATCGGACTAGAAACGGGGACGTGTGCACGGTTTTCGTTCACGCATTCCAGATTCAGCTCGAGGTCGGCGACAGCCACTCCCACCGGTAGCCCGAAGAGACAGCTGCCTCTGATCCCGGCGGCTCTCAAGGAAAGGGCTGCTCAGGATCTCGAGGAGCGGGCCAGATTTATGAGACAAGGCAATAGGCAGGTGCACACGTACAGGAATATGGACATCGGAGGTGAGCCTACTTTGCCTTTTCGTTCGCGAGGTTATTAATTCGAAAGTTTCCGAATACCTCGGCTCGACGATACGAGCACGATACGATGACGAAAGCTCGCGAAAATCCCTGTCCTAATTGACCCTGTTCGCGGAATTTCGCTCGCGACGAATAAGCCGGAAACTTCGTAATGGAACGTTATTAGTTGGCCCGTGTGCATGTTCTCCGCGTAATTCGAAAACAATTTTCCACCAACTACGTATTTTTTCGTTTCCGAAAGCTCACCCGTCGAAGTTTGTATCCGTGTGGCCATGCGCCACGACGAACAATACGTCTAGTAGCGCGCATATCCTAGAGGATCGCGAGACGTTTATGGAGAGACGTGTCCCCGAAGGGAATGATTTTCATTTTTCAGGTTGGGAAAGACACTATAGCGGGCTGTCGGACTCGGATCTGCTCTCGATAGATCACGATCCGTTATCTTTGCCGCATAGTCGCGCTTATCGAATGCACAGACCGCAAAGGGGACACTTGAGTCCTGACAAAGACGTACTTGGAGATCTCGGTGACTCCGATATGGAGAGTATAGCCTCCGTGACGAGCAGTGCCTTCAGTACGCAATCGGAACGACCACGTGGCTCTAGAGGACTAATGTGAGTATAGTTCAATGTCTATTGTATTATAATTTTCGAGTCGATGACCTTGCATTTCAAAGTCAGTGTACAAAGCAAGACAAGTTCCATAGAGAAGAAAGTATCCCTTTAGAGGAGACAGCCATCCACTGTACCATTTTTACGTGACGTTCGGGTAAATCGTGTTTCCTCCCCTCTCTCTCTCTCTCTCTCTCTCTCTCTCTCTTCTTTCCCCGTTTCCGTTTTCTTCTTCTCCCGACTAATCTCATTTCGTAGGTCGTTCATTCGGAATAGCGTAATCCCGCTTTCAGTTTGCAAGTAAATTATCGTTATGCTCGTCGATAGACCATGTACACCGCGCACAGAATGGAACATTTGATGGCTTACCTTCTCATCGACGATAATCCCTGAATTAAATGGACATTGCCGAATGAAATGACACCCCGTAGTTGCACTGTCTCATCTTCCCCCGCCTGCTTGATAGGTTCCCGAAATCCTTCCGCGCTCTCTTCGACGATTCTACTACTATTTAGTTGGCTAGACTGCACCTCCTATGCACCGTGTCAATGTCCATTTAATATTGTCCCATTCTAATAAAGCAGGGATTAGTGCGTGGCGTTGGTCGAACGGCTAGGTCTACCTACGTTGAAACACGTCACAAATTACATATATGTATGTTGTGTGTATAATCACGAAGAGACTAAATCAATCGTCGCACGTCCTACAGACAACCTGCATTTATATTTGTTCGGCGAGTGACAAATGCAACAAAATTCTCCGGTCGAATTCTCTTTGCTTATCGTTTGCTTGTAACCATGCGAAAAATGCCAAACCATGGAATAAGATAGAGAGTAAAACCGGGAAAGGAAAAGTAAAAAAGCGGGAAATAGGACAAGAAAAGAAGGAAGAAGGAACGCGTTCGATCGATCGCGAACGTGCGAGTAGAGTCTCTTTTTTTTCTTTTTATTCTTTGATGAAAGAAAAAAAAAAAAAAAAAAAAAAAAAAA